TAGGCAGATTAAGAAAAAAAAACTTGGCATGATGGACGAAGGCTCATTTGTGAACCATAGACAGAACAGTGATACTCTGAACAGAGGAAAAGCAAGACCCACGGCAGAAGAAGGGGGTCTCTTACCCTTTTGGGGGTGGAGATGTTATGGTGGATGATTTTCCAGGCTCCCCAGAGGGGAAATGGAAAAAGAGACAAGAAAGAAACACACATCTGTTTCCTGGGGGACATTTTAAATATCCTGTGGGAGTGGTCTTGAACATCTCGTGGAGGGAGCTCTGTTTGGTGGGCTTTCTGGGTTGGGGCACGGTTTGGGGAGAGAGAGCCCAGGGAGGGGGGTGTTATTGAGGTGGAACTTCCACCAGAACATTCCAGACTCCTTGTGTATATGAATGCCAGGGGCTGAGGTGGAGTTTCCACCAGAACATGCAGTCATGGCCCCTCTCCCCTATCCATCTGCATTCAGGAAATCTGTTTAACCTCCAGTCCCTCAACAGAGGAAACCTTCAGACAGTCTCTCTGATTCTTAGGCAAGAATTAGGGAAGTGGGTAAGGAACAGAATATGTGGCCATCACTATCCTGTTTGATGTTCTTTCCTTCCTATGTAAGAGATCCTGATCCTTGGAAAACTGTTGGGTTCTCAGACAATGTCTCAGTAGAGCACCTGGGGTATCTGTGAGAGGGGAGTCATTGAAGGTGTTGGGGATTCTCACTCTGCTGCCTCCCAGTTGTAACTCATTGTCATGGATAGCCCCAGGTAAAATCTGTATTTTGTGATCTCTCTTATGCAAAGCACCTCACATAATTGACAGAAAGGTAGTCTTGATGAACTTTGACTTATACTATCCTGATGAGCTGCGATGGATTACTGAGGGGAGAAAACTTAATAGTTAATGACCTGAAGGCTGCAGGTAGGCTGAGAAACTTTGGTGAAGAAACTTGGCTTGACTGAGAATACCTGTGGGCTGTCAGGGTCTAGGAAGCTCCTCATAAAGGAGCCCAAAACTTTGTGTGGCCTCCTAAACTAAGGAATCTCTTGACCAACACAGCAACCTCTGTGGGTACTTACCACTCTGAGACAGCAGCAGAACTGGCCTGCAGATGCAATCTTCCATCCTGACATCTCCTGCAGGAGGTCCCACGCTTGACACGGTTGTCTGTCACTTAAGATACTCTGGTTGTTATTTGTTTTTTGTTTTTGTTTGGTTTTATTTGGTTGTTTTGTTTGTTAGTTTGTTTTTTGAGTCAGGGTTTCTCAGGGTAACCCTGACAGTCCTGGAACTTGCTTTGCAGACCAGTCTGGCCTCAAACTCAGAAAGATCCACCTCCCTCTGCATCCCTCATTCTCAGGAGTATTAGAATTAAAGGTCTTCACCACCATGTTGGGCTTGTGTTTGTTTTTGTAATTGAAGTTTATCAGGAAAGCTGGGGCCAGGGTTTTACTATAGCTTGTCAGGTAGTACAAACGGGCACAGGGCTTGGGCTGTCTTCTAGACTTGCCCTCTCTCTTTTCTTTTTTTCAAGACAGGGTTTCTCTGTGTCTTTGGAGGCTGTCATGGAACTAGCTCTTGTAGACCAGGCTGGTCTCAAACTCGCAGAGATCTGCCTGCCTGTGCCTCCCAAGTGCTGGGATTAAAGGTGAGAGCCACCCGCCCTGTCTCATTTCTTCCACTCATGCCTATCTTCTTTTTAGCAATATGAATTTAATTCCACCCTGATCCTGTGTTTGTTGCTGCTGCTGCTGTCATTATTGCTGTATGTGTACTAGGGACTGAAGCCAGGCCTTCATGCTTTTCGTGTGTCTCAGACAGCCACACCACCAATCCTTGGTTCTTTTCTAATGAGGATGATTTTCTGTGCTCTTACAAATACAGCATTGCTGTGTTTTGTTGGCCTTTAATGAGATGTAGTGTGGTCACACTGTTTACTTCTGCAGTCATTCATGGCTCCCTGTGACACTAATTGGGTCTCTTCCAGAACACATTAGGCCGTTTATGCTGTCGTCTTAAAACACTACGTTTTCCAAGTATCTCTTAAAATTTGCTTCAGAGTCTGCTTCTGTTTATATTCATTAAAGATACTTTAACATCTTAAGTTTTCAGCAAATTAGGGGGTCCCTAGCTTGACAATTGAATGTGGAATGATACAAGTTTTTTAAAACAATAATTTGAATGTAGATGAATTTCTGATGTCCTTTTAGGTACCAAGGGGAAACTCACATGACTCTAGAGCTGGCCATTCTGAGGGTGAAACACACGGTGTCAGTGTGGAGGAATTAAAGTGGGGAACTGTTCTAACAGTTTTTCCATATCTTTTGAACAGTGAATGGGAATGAAGACATGACCACTCCTAGGTATGGCTGAGGAGAAGGGTTTGTTGTAGATATGAAGGAGAGTTCCGCCAGAGGCATCTGGAAGGGCCCAGACTGAATAGGGCCATGAGATTGGAGGGGGAGGGGTAAGCAAGCCAAGAGAAGAGCCAAGGACTAAGAGACCAAGAAAGGACACTTATGAAGTAGGGGATTGGATGGATGGAACAGTGGAGGGAAGAAGCAGTTGAACAGGAGCGCTCTAGAAGTTGGAGTCAGATATGGGGGTGGGCAAAGCCAGCAGAAACAAGTGATGCACACACATCTTCAGAGAGTCAAATCAGCAGGTCGGCTGGATTAGGAGAGAGGCTGAGCCCCTTGGAAGGAAGCTCATACCTGCCCATCCCACGGTCTGCTCCAAAACCGCCAGAACATGCCAGCCCTGGATGTTTCTCTGGAACTTGACAAAAACATGGCGTTTCCTTGTTTTGATGCAGTACACCATTTGTGACGCGGCATCAGAATCTGAGTGTTGAACTCATATACCATTTGTGGTTGAATATTATTTTCATTGTGTTATGTACACATAATAGAAACTCAACAAGGTGTGTACTCTTCAACATTTTTGGCACATGGTTTCACACGTAAGCAGAAGCCAATCTAGATAACAGAATTAAATCTTTTAAAAATATATATGCAATATATATTTTTAGAAACAGACTGAAGTTTGTATTCTAATCTTATAATATTTAAATAGATGTTACTAGGTGGATAGGTGCATGTCATTGATAATTTTGTCTTCATAAATAACACTTTGGTCATGCCCATTAACTCTCATTTTTAGCTGTTAGAAGATACAATTCTTGATACCCAGATCTACAGGTCAATATATATCTCTTGGATGCACTCTAAGGCATACAGCAGAAGAATATTGGAGTGCTACCTATAGTCAGCATCAGAATTCTCACTTTGGGGAGAGAGCATTACAGGAAACAACCTAGCTACAGAACTGTAGGAAAGATGAACTGTAATTTCAGTATTCCCATGGGATTTCCTTACCTATGAATATTTTTCCTGAAGAACCTATTGTCCCCGTTGGTTCAGTGTCTATTTCTGGTTTCATCTACTCACTATATTATTTCTTTTAAAAAAGCATGACCATACGCTACAATCCACAGCCCCAGAGAGGCTAGGTAACAAGGAGAGAGCTCAAGGGGAGGAAAGACTAGATCTCCCTGGGAAGGGAAATGGAAGAGATCTTCTTGGTAGACTGGGTGCAGGTGGAGATGGGAACTTAAGGAATCAGGTTGGGGCAGGGCAGAGGAGAGTACTGAAAGAGATGACTGGAAGGAGGCTTGTATTTCCAGGTCAGGTACAAACCTGATGCAAGGGAAATTCCCATGAATCTATAAGGATGACCTGAGGTAAGAATCCTAGCAATAGTGGCCTGGACTGGCCACCTCCTGGGATCAGATTATGGACTATCCCAATTGTCATTAGAGAGTCTTCATCTAGTAACTGATGCAGAGAGACCCACAACCAAACATAAGGCAGAGCTCGGGGAACCCTGTGGAAGAGGGAGATGGATTGTAGGAGCAGAGGGGTCAAGGGCATCACAAGAAAACCAACAGAAACAACTGGCTTATGGGAACTCACAAAGTATCAACCAACAACCAGGAAACCTGCATGGGACTGACCTAAACCCTCTACATATGAGTGACAGCTGTGTAACTTGGTCTAGCTGTGGGACTCCTAACAATGGTAGCAGGGGCTGTCCCTAATACTTTGGGTGGCTCTTGGGAACCCATTCTTCATCCTGGATTGCCTTGCCCAGCCTAAATATAAGAGGTGCTCAGACTTACTGCAACTTGATATGCCATGCTTTTTGGTACCCATGGCAGGCCCGCCCCTTTCTGAGAGAATGGGAGCAGTGGAGGAGAGAGGAGAAACTGTAGTCGGGAGGTAAAAAAAAAAATTTTAAGGGAATGGTCACTGTGAGGATGCCTATTTGGTCATGGTGTTTACATTGTGATAAAGATTTGAGACAGCAGTCCCCACTCCCTACAGAAATACAATCCGCTGATAGATTCTAAGGGATTGCCACCCACGTGTTTTATGACTTTGGGATCACAGCCTTTGGTTTGGTCTCTGGTTCACAGGGGAGCCTCAGTCTTTGGTTTTGTGCCTGGTAAACACAGGGACTCAAGGTTCATTGGTAAGCTGAATTACACCTGACTGGAATCTTTATACCCGAGTTAAATTCTATTTGGCCACATCAAGAACTACTGGGATGTACTGACGAGTCTTTCCAACTCCCAAACCCAGTCCTGGGATAACGGATTTTTCTTCTGGGCCCTGGCAGACATCTCAGCACAATTCTATCGTAGTAACGTTCCTTTGAATTTGCTAATAAGTCAGTAGCAAGATGAGAACTAAGAAGACAAAGGGGATGCAAATCGTATTAACGGGAATGTTAGAATTATCAAAGAACGCTGTTAATTAAAACGGTGGAATCCAGCGTCTCCAGCGTCAATCGGGGCCGGCCGGTGGTTGCTTAGCAACTCCCCAACGCTTCCTCCTACGCCCTGCCCTCGGAGTCCCGCCCCCAGTTCCGCCGCCACGTCCGGCTTCCATCCCCTCCCCTACTTCCGCCCTGACCAGCCAGTGGGGACCTAGCGGCTACTCTCTTTGACCTCCATCGTACTGCCTGACTGAAAATTTGTCAGCGAGCAATCAAAAGCAGAAGCGTCCTCTTTACCTGGCATTTGCCCTTCATCCCTGGTGGATACACACTCTCAGTAAACTGCTGGCTCCTGTCTGGCCGTCCGCCGCGGCCTGCGCGCGCCTGTGCGTTTCTCAGGCGCGCCGCGGACAGCCGCCGCGGAGGGCGACGTGGGCCGCGAAGGCCCCCGTCGCCGGCCACCGAGGAAGCGCGGCGGGCGAAGGGGCGCGGGGTGTGCGCGGCGGCTCCACCATGTAAGTGTCCGACTCTCCCCTCGCCCCGGCCCCGGCCCCGCGGCCCGAGCTGACTGTAACACCCTGCGCTTCCCTCCCCCAGGTCGAAGGTGTCCTTTAAGATCACGCTGACGTCAGACCCGCGGCTGCCGTACAAAGTGTGAGTGGCGGGCCGGGCTGCGGGAAGAGGGGTGCGGCGTTCCCGCCGAGCCGCCGGCGCCCCTCGGAGCGCACGGGGTGGGCAGCGGGGGGGACTTGGGGCAGGGCTGACGCGTTGCTGCGTGAGCCCCTTTCACGTCGTGGAGAGGCCGGGAGCCGCCTGGGCCACTGGAAGTTAGGGCCGACTTCCCTCCCAAGTCTGGACTCTGCACACGGTGAACGTCAGGCGTGGGTAGGAGCCGACGAGCCGGCGCCTTAGCGGTGGACCCCCAAGTCACACGCGACTCGGATCATGGCAAAAAAGTGCTTAGCGCGCCTGGGGACTGTGCGTGTGGGGGCCGTGTGTGCTTGTTGGGCGCTCTGTGCTCGAGCAGTTGAGATGGTGGTCAACCCAGGTTTCTGTGTCAACTTTCTTACGACTTTTAAGTGTAGACCCCGCCCCTTTTATGTGAGTGCAGCTGGAAGGTCTATGCTAGCTGGCAGAATTTCCCTAAGCAGGGGCACCGAGGTCAGGCCAACTGATAGCAGCTGCCATCGCCGTCTGAGCTTGCCACCTGCGTGACTCGTTCAGCCTCCCGGCCTGTTGTTCCCTTAGCTTTCCGTGTGTAAAATGCTCTCCTTACCCCCTCAGTGTCCAGTAATTGCGCCATCTCTCAACTGTCGGTTTGCTGTTTTCAGATACCCACGTCCTCTTCCTCCAGGTGATTTACTGCGGGTGTCTTCCACGTTACTTCTTTCAGTCATTTGTCAGGCCGCCGTTTTGGTCTGTGGCTCTTCCCTGCCCCAGCGCCAAGCCTGCTCGTTTCTCACGGAGACGAAAGTCTGCGGCCTGCCTTTTAGAAATCACGCTCTGGCAAATGCCCTCGAATCTGATGGCCACTTCTCTTTCATCTGTTTTGCTTCGTGAAACACCCAACTGCAAATTCAACCCTTTATGTTCTTTACACTCACTCTGTTCCTGGAAAAAATAGCATTGATGAGTTTTATGAAAAAAAAAAAAACTTGTGACTAGCATTCTACTGTGTTCCAAAAGTTTGTCCACTTTTCTATTTTCAGAAAGTATCTTTGTTTTATTTCAAAATTTCCACAGCTCCTTTTCCCGTTGATGCAGAGAAGTGAGAAGGGAGGCCTCTCATCCTCATCCACACCCAGAAGCATCTCCCATACCTTTCCATAAAGAACATAGCTGCTGCTGTAAAGCCTGTTCCTACAGGCGACACTCTCCGGTCCTTTTTTCTCCCTCTGTACTGGATTATGCTTAGCGGTGTGTAGCTGTACTCCGGAAAGAATGGGGAGGAGAGGGGAAAGGACAGACAGACAGACAGACAGAGCTGTATCAGAGCTCCTGCAGCACTGGGCCATTCCAGTCAGTACTTTGCAGCTGAATACTTTCTTTGTTTTTTTTTGTTTTGTTTTTGTTTTTGTTTTTGTTTTTCAAGACAGGGTTTCTCTGTATTGTTTTGGAGCCTATCCTGGAACTTGCTCTGTAGACCAGGCTGGCCTGGAACTCACAGAGATCCACCTGCCTCTGCCTCCTGAGTGCTGGGATTAAAGGCAGCTGAAGACTTTTTGATTAACTGTTCAGCGTTGTGTTTGATGCATGTGTGGATATGTGCGTGTGTAGTCTGTTGATGTTCTGCATGAGCACTTGTAAAATACTACTGAAATCTTGATAAACCTCCCATCCCCTGCATGTTAGAAGATGTTAAACAAGTGACTATTAGGACTATTAGAATTTTCTTTCTATTCTCTGTCCCAGTACTCCCCCCAAAAGAAAAGAAAGGAAAACAGTGATACAAACTTTATTATTAAATAACATTTGTCGGGAAAATGCCAGCCCCCCTAAAAATCATTTTCATTTCTCTTTTGGAAGTCAGTACAATATGGTATGACTTTTATATTCAGAGACTGTGGAAAAGAAATCCAGGGTTAAACCTAAGAAAGTTCTGTGACAGAGTTGACATTAGCCGTTAGTGGGATATGTGACAACGAATTGAGAAGCTTAATGAGAGACGCTGGCTTTTGTTTTTCTCTTCTTGAGAGGTTTAATTTTTTGTTTTGTTTTTCCTTCTTAGAACTTTGATGAGATGCATTAAGGTAGACTGAAGACCAGGGAGAGGTTGACCTTGCTGACAGCCATCTCATCCAGGGCACACTGGCACAGCCTTTAATCCCAGCATTTGGAGGGCAGGCAAACACAGCTCTCTGATTTTGAGACCAGCCTGAGACCCTGCCTTTTAAAAGGAAAAAAAAATTCTCTTATTAAACATCTGCCCCTATGCTACACTTGTATCAATCTGGGTGGAGCTGTGGCTCAGTGGTTAAGGGCATTGGCTGCTCTTGCAGAGGATTCAGCGTCCATTCCTAACACCCATATGATGGCTCACATCTGGCTGTAAGTCTAGTTCCAGAGGACCCAATGCCCTCTTTGGGCTTCTATGGGCATCTGTACACATATGTACATACATAAACCCAAGCACAAAAAGGCAAGATACAGTAAATCTTAAACACACATAAATTGAGAAAGAGAACAGGCAGAACTCTGCCTGCAGATTGTCAGTTTTCACACAGAGCATTGGTTCCTTGTCTTGACTCTTTGCTTTTCTTTTTTTTTTAAATTAATTTATTTTTTATATTCCAATTCCAGTTCCCCCTTCCTCCTTTCCCCTCTCTCCCTCCATTCCCCTCTCCTCTCATCTGCTCCTGGGAGAGGGCAAGGACTCCCCTAGGAAGTCTACTAAGTCTGTCCCATCATTTCATTGAGGCAGGACCAAGGCACCTCTCCATCCCCACGCCCCTGTGTCTAGGCTGGGCAAGGATCTCTCCGTATAGAATGGGCTCCACTAAGTCAGTCTGTGAGTTAGTGTTAGATCTTGGACCCACCGCCAGTGGCCTCATGTATGTCCCAGTCACAGCATTGTCACACTCTTTGCTTTTCTAGTGTCTTGTTGTGAGCACCAGTTCACATGATGCTGCCAGGAAAGCAGCCAACCGTAAAATTCCAAAAACAATTTCTTTCATTTGCATGAAATAAACTGAAATTCTTTCAATTCATTTTTATTTGTCGCAGTCTTAGTGTTCCTGAAAGTACGCCTTTCACAGCGGTGTTGAAGTTTGCAGCAGAAGAAGTAAGTGTGGGCTCTAACTGTCCTTATGGATGCAGTGTGGCTCCTTTGGGTTTGTCTTTGTGTTTGCATGCACTGGGCCCCTCCTCATCCCACTTCCCTGCGTTCTTCCCTGCGTTCGTTGCTGGGCTCATGCTATGGAAGTCACAAGCCCAGGTAAAGTTACTCTCTACTCATTAGCCAGCGGTGAGTTGAACAAATTGACACATCTGTTTAATTGAGCAGATGAAAAGTGTGAGAGTTGTATTGGTACTGAATGCACCAGAGACACGTAAGTTGTTTTTTAAAGAGCTGACTATACAACTTTATTAGCTGTTTTGAAAAATGTCTAGTTTAACACACACACGCACGCACGCATTTTCTGATTTTAAGAAATGAGAGTTTTCTATCTACAATTATCAGAATTGTTTATAAAACATCTCTGACCACAACATTTGGAAGTGTAGGTTGATCTGGGCCAGTGCACCAGAGTGTGATTTGAGAGACTTCAGCTTTCTGTTGGAGTGGTGGTGTTGGTCAGCTGCATCACATGCAAATCCCTCCATTCTTGTTGCCCTCCCCCACCCCCGGTACTGGGACCCAGTCCCTGGGTTGTGAGCATACTGTCTAACCCAAGCTCTAACTCGGCACTGTATACTCTAGTAACCCTGCTTTTTTGCTGTTGTTTCTTTCTCTAAAAGACTGTTGCATTTTAGAATTATAGAAATCTGACTTTCATTGTTCCATGAAAATGTATCGATATGGTTTTTCTTTTCTCCCTTTTAGTTTAAAGTTCCTGCAGCCACAAGTGCGATCATTACTAATGGTAAGAGTTCACCTTAAACCATAAGTGCTGGAGACAGTGTGACTTGAATCCCAAAGCCCCTGTATATGTTACGTAGACATTATACTTAATGGTAAACTCTGCATGGAATGAACTCTGCTCATCTTCTCCCTAGGCTAGGGAAACTTCACAGTATCTATTGTCCTTATCTCTTTCTCTAGTCTGCAAGGTTTACATATATGTACAGTTGTGTCAGAAAGTGCTTTAGAGTATAGAAAGTTGAGCAGGAATGTGACTTCCCTATTCTTTAACTGTGCTAATAGGAAACTGGTCTACAGGTGTGCAGTGTTGTTCAGTTTAGATGTTTGGTTAAAACTCTGAATACCTTGGAACCCTGGAACAAATTCCAGGGGACCTGTTCTTATGAGGTAGCAGTAGAGCAGCAAATGAGGAGCACTAGTCCCTCTCCCATGTATAAATTAATGACTAAATGTTCCAGGCAGGCAGTTCTCAGTTGAAGGGGTCAGATGCAGTAGCTCAGCTTACCTTAGGTATGACTGGATTTCCTACTCTGATACACTGTGTGTTCTCACACTGAAGAAAGCTAGCCAACTTTCTGATAGTTCTCCAGTGGAAATGTTTCAGACATGCAAAGTGTCACTAGAACATGAACAAAATGACTTGTCCTCTCTTGTCTTGGAGATTTTATGCTGCTCAGCAGGTGAAACAACTGGTGGCATACATAAGGTGTTTGTTGCTTAAAGAAGAATGAAACTTTATTTCATGTAGCAAGATAGGATGAAAAACACCATCTTAGACCGTGTGAGAGTCATTGTACTTAGGATGTGTTGTCTCATCCAGCAGTGCCTACAAGCATATACCATGGGAGGTGTCCACAGATGGGTAGCTCATCTGAGAGACTTGTCTGCTCTGGATTGAAGTTGCTCAGCCTTTGCTTGTGCCCATAGCCGCACTAGTACAGCAAATCCTTTGTTACTGTTTAAGTTGTTTTAGCTTTAGGGATAATTTACATGATTTACAATTTATTTTCTAGATGGAATAGGAATAAATCCTGCACAGACTGCTGGTGAGTGTCTGCCTGTATGTCCATCAAAGATGACTATTTTATGTATTTCAACTAGATACGATTTTTCAGAAGACATAGCTGTGTAGAGCATATGTAGCAGTCTACTTGTAGCTCAGTGGCATTTGGCTCCGTTTATATATATTAATTTATTAATCATATGATTAATAGTGGTGTAGGAATTGAAAGTATTTAATTAATATGTATAACAAATCTAGAGGTAAGATTGTGTTGCAAAGTTAATGATTGACCTTTGTCTTAAAGTGACTTTGAGGTAGTCAGTAAGTTACCTAAATCTGGGTATATTCCATGGTTAGCATCCGGGAAGTGCCAGCAAGAATGCTAGCCATCGTTCCTTTAAACAGCTACAACCACTGACATTTCATAGGCTAAGTTCTCCCTAATGCTCAAACTGTGAACATAGCTTAGCTTGAAACATTGACATCCTGGCCAGCAGGTAGGGTAACTGTGTCTTGAACTTCAGTAAAGGAACTCTTAAACTGTGAAAAAAGAATGTACTTCTTAAGATGTGTCCTCTGGCTGATATTCTAACCGTAACGCTTTGAAGCCGTACTGTTTAATATAATACGGCCTCATTCTTGAACAATACTTGGCTTTTAAACAATTGTTCGGGAGATTTTGATTTATAAAAATTATATTGTCTTTGTAGGCTACTGGTGAAAGTCACAAATCTAGAAAATGAAAAGTGATTTATACTTGCAGATTTTTATTACCATAATCAATGATCTTGAGTATATACTTTAAATTGAAATCTTTATTTTTTGAAAATTCTTAGGTACTGTATTACATTAAGGATCCTGTATGATATAGGAGCAGGTTTTGTCTTTTTGATTCTAGAAGTTTTTGTTTGCTTATATTAATTCGAATTCTTGCTTACCCTTACATGTTGCCCTTTATGCCACCTTTCAATTGAATCGTGTCCATCACTAAGATTGATTATAATCTCACCAGGGGCTCCAACTTGAGTGTCAGCGTATCTCAGTGGTCTTCTCTGACCCTGGATTTACGTTTTTGTGCTGGTGTCACCATTTTTTTTTTTTTTTTGATGTTACTGCATTTGCTGGCATGGCAGTGGCTGGTGTACCTTCATGTTTAAGCATTTATCATTCTATGAGGCTGGAGGAGGGATGGGGGCAGGGATCTGAAGAATGGGTACCAGCTCAGAGGATGCAGGGACTTCCTCCCTCCATTAATGAATCATTTTCTGGTATGCTAATATTGTCCTCTTTAGAAGCCTGACTTTGTGTTTTTGTTTGTTTATATAGGAAATGTTTTCCTGAAACATGGCTCAGAACTGCGAATCATTCCTAGAGACAGAGTTGGAAGTTGCTAATGTCTGCTTCTTGGAATATAGAGCCTTTCAGAATAAATACTGGTGTTTGTTGTTGCTGTATGGTTGAAATCAGGCATTCATGATACAATGAAAGCACCAAGAATCAATGAGACAAGGAAAGTTGACTCTTGTCCCTTCTTGTTCATTTTGTTCATGGGAAGAAAGACTGCCTTTGAGTGGAGGGTACCAACCATGGGTCACATAGTCGGTGACTGCTGCCTCACCAGAAGAAGAGGGTACTTCTGTGACAAATGGACTGTGCTTTAAAAAACAAACAAAACCACCAACACAACCAGAAGATGAGTCGGATCATTCATTTCAGGAATATTTGGAAAATCAAATTCATAGTATTGGATGTATTTCTAATTTTAGAGTTTAAAGGATAATTGATCATAGAGGCATTTGATTGACAGCATCTCACCTGCAGGCCCATATTTAGATTTTAAATTATGTCCTTTGTGATGAAGTTAATGGGTATTTCTGTGGACAGTTAAATTTTATACAAAAGCCAAATTAAATTATGGGATGTTACCATTGTGTGTGTAAAGTTGCTATCTTACACAAACAGCTTTGATATAGCGATCTTATGAAGTCAGGTGTGTCCTGGTGGGAATTGACAGTGGCGCAGGAGAAGTCAGAGAGGGCAGTAGGGTTGAGAAATGTGAAGGGGAAGAGCACTGGGCATAGGCTCAGAAGGCAGCTACGTAGACATTGCAAAACGCCCAGCAGTCTGCACAAAGATCTCAGGGCCTAGGACATGAGAGGTGTCTCAGCCCAGAACAGCTTTGCAAGCCTGAGTAAGTTCAATTCCTAAAACCCGTGTGGAAAAAGAGAACCAATCCACAGTCATCCTCTGACCTTACACAGACACCCTGATGTGAACCAGTCTCCTCTCCCACAGTAATGCATTTTGTAAAAGATCTTATTTGCCCCTACAGAGGAAATCCATGTCTTGGCACATCTTGACAGTGACCAAGTGAGAGCAGGTGAGCTCTTTGGAGGTGAGGGTCTGCCACATGCTCCCTAGAGCTAGAAATACAAGTACTCAATAAATATTGACTGAATTCATGAGTAATGTCTTCAGGACCTATTTTTATCTCGTGTCTCCTGTATTCCTATTACAGGGCCTTGGTTCACTGAGGGGGAGGTTTGTAAGAAATTAATGGTCAGCATCTGAAGATATATTAGTAAATGAAGGCATTGTCATTGTCCACAGGTGTGCAGAGTATATGCTGGGATTCTGAATTATGTAGCAATATGCAGTTCATGTCTGCTGGGATTTTATTTTTATAAAAGTAGTGCCCAAAGACCCTATTCCTTAGACTATGACGCTTCTGCTAACCAAAAATGTTTAAACACTCAATTGCTTCATTTATTATTTTCTTTCATTCTGCCTTTAGCATAAAAATCTGCATGCTGTCTGTGTTTACAAAGTACACAATATAAAGAGTTGTCTACCTGTTCTTTGATTTGAAAATCCATAGTCTTAAAAATATTTTACTCAAAAACTAGATGATTTGTTATTAAATATGACCTGCAAGTTTTATTTTTCCATTTTTTAAATTTTATTTAAATTAGACGTGTCAATCCCAGCTCTCTCACCATCCCCTCCTCCCCCCCAACCAGACTCCCCAACCCCCCCACTCCATCCCCTCTCTACTCCCTAGGGAGGGTGAGGCCCTCCATGGGGAATGTTCAAAGGCTGTCATATTATCCCCGGGCAGGGCCTAGGCCCTCCCCATGTGTCCAGGCTGAGACAGCATCTCTCCATGTGGAATGGGCTCCCAAATTCCATTTGTACGCCAGGGCTAAATACTGCTCTACTATCTAAGGCCACATAGATTACCAAGGCCTCCACTGACACCCACGTTCAGGGCGTCTGGGTCAGTCCCATGCTGACCTCTCAGTCACCAGTCTGGGTCCAAGGGCTCCCCCTTGTTCAGGTCAGCTGCCTCTGTGGGTTTCACCAGCCTGGTCTTGACCCCTTTTCTCATCACTCCTCCCTCTCTGTCACTGGGTTCCAGGTGTTCAGTTCAGTGTTTAGCTATGGGTATCTGCCTCTGCTTCCATCAGTCATTGGATGAAGACTCTAGGATGGCATATAAGGGGAGGGGCATTTAAGGCAGCCTCTCCACTATTGGTTAGTTTGCCAGTTGGTGTCATCCTTGTAGATCTCTGAAAATCTCCCTAGTGCCAGATCTCTTCTCAAACCTATAGTAGCTCCTTGACTCAACCTTCCTGCTCCCCCTCCCTTTCTCCACACTTCCTCTCCCCTCCTCTCACCCCATATTCCCAATCCCCTCAGGAGATCCCATCCCATTCCCCTTCTCTGGGGTACCATGCATATCTCTCTTGTAGCCCTCCCTGTTTCCTAGACTCTCTGGTGGTGGGGTTGTAGGCTGGCAATCCCCTGCTCCATGTCTAAAATCCATAATGAGTGAGTACATACCATGTTTGTCTTTTTGTGACTGGGTTACCTCACTCAGGATGGTTTCTTCTAGTGCCAATCATTTGCCTGTGAATTTCAAGATTCCATTGGCTTTTTTTTTTTTTCTTCTGCTGAGTAGTACTCCATTGTGTAAATGTACCACATTTTCTCTATCCACTCTTCAGTTGAGGGGCATCTGGATTGCTTCCAGGTTCTGGCTATTACAAATAATGCTGTTTTGAACATAGTTGAATAGATGTCTTTATTGTATGAATGTGCATCTTTTGGATATATGCCCAAGGGTGGAATTGCTGGGTCTTGTGGTAGGCTGAATTCCATTTTCCTGAGGAATCTCCATACTGATTTCCAAAGTGGCTGTACAAATTGGCACTCCCACCAGCAGTGGAGGAGTGTCCCTCTTTCTCCACATCCTCTCCGGCTTAAACTGTAATTGGTGTTTTTTATTTTAGTCATTCTGACAGGAGTGAGATGGTATCTCAAAGTTGTTTTGATTTGCATTTTCCTGAAGGCTAAGGATGTTGAGCACCTTCTTAAGTGTCTCTCTGCCAGTTTAGACTCCTGTATTGAGAATTCTCTATTTAGTTCTGTACCCCACTTTTTAATTGGATCCTTTGGTGTTTTGGAGACTTGCTTGTTGAGTTCTTTGTAAATTTTGGAGATTAGCCCTCTGCCAGATGTGGGGTTAGTGAATATCTTTTCCCATTCTGTGGACTGCCTTTTTATCTTGCTGACTGTGTCCTTTGCCTTACAGAAGCTTCTCAGTCTCAGGAGGTCCCATTTATTAATTGTTGCAGGTCCAGCATTACCCATTCCCCAGTAAGCCAAGGGCAGGTGGATATACATGGATTAATAGAAAATCAGTTAATAATTAAGACAGAGCTAGCCAATAAGAAATCCTAGTCACTGGCCAACAGTTCCATAACTAATATAGCATCCGTGTGTTTCTTGGGGCAGAGAAGGGTGGTGGGACCTGCTGGGCCTAAAAACCTCATGTAACAGGTCACTACTGGGAAAACTGTCTTCACAGCTCAAGTCACGGTGCTTTATGTCTTAGCTTTGGTTTTTATTTGAGAGAGAAGTAAACTGGAAGTACTCCGAGGGATTGGCTCAGCCAGTGAAGGTGCTTGCTTACAAAACCTTGAGTTCATCTCTGGGACCTGCATGGTAAAATAAAAGAACTCCACGACCACACTGTGACACATGTACATTTATATGTACACAAATGTACATTTTAAACTACCTTATGTCTTTGAAGAGACTCCAAACATTTGTAAATTGGAAGCATTATATGTTATAAAGGATTAATTCTAGGTTAGTACTGTTCCCAAGGCTACTTATAAAACTAGGTAAAATTATGTGCACAGTTGACTTATCTTTAAAGTCTGTTGATTAGACCGGGCAGATTGCTCAGTGGTTGACAGTGCCTGTTCTTGTAGGGGATCAAGGTTTTGTTTGCAGTACTCACATAGTATCTCAATGATCTGTAACTCCAGTTCCATGGGACTCAGTGCATCTTCTGGCCTCCATGGACACTGCACTCATGTGCACACATGTGCATAAATCTAGAAAAATGGTGAAATTCTATTGAACTTTAATTGTGAAGAATAGTTTAATATATAACTTGTTAAAATAATGTTAAGTGATTCCCACTTCCTGGAAGGATTGGGAAGATTGCACCTTGTTTTGAACCAGGCTTTGCCTTTGGGGTTCCATATAGTTCTGGACAAAATTTCAGTATCCATTTTCTACAAAATACTAATTTGTATTGAATTATAAATCTAAAAAGCTAGACATAACTTCCTCAGCATGCTGTAAATGTTTGGTAACGAATGCCAATACTTTCAATACATGCCATAGTAATGACGGAATAAATACAGAATCTGGCCACTTGGACACACTTCTGTAACCCCAGCCGTAGGACTGTAAGATCAAGGGCAGCCTGGGTTGCACAGCAGGACTGCCTCATAACACAACTATAAACACAGGAACAGCAGCCTTGACTGGCACGCAGTGCCACCGGCCAGCGTCTGCTCAGTCAGAGTCTACAGTCTGTACAAGAGGCCACTCGGGCCAGCACGGGCCTTCGGGGCTCTTTGTCCTCAGGCACTGTTTCTGCTGTCCTCATGGTTTACTTCTGCAGCTGTGCTGTGCTCCAGAGGCTGTTTAGTCCTGTGCCGTGCCCTGTTCTTACCCTTACTGCCTTTGCTTCCTCCACATCAGTGAGACCAGGAAACCATGGTCTGCCAAGCTATCCGCCTTACTTCTCTGCTTCCCAGCCAGACTGGAACTTTAACCACCGTGTCTTTTATGCTGTAGCAATTATTAAGCACAGAATTATTTGTCTCAAATCATACACTTTATAGGTCCAATATCATGGATTGAATACAAACGGCCCCCATAGGCTCATATGTTTGAGTGATTGGTCACCAGGGAATGGCACAATTTAAGAAGGATTAGGAGGTGTGGCCTTGGGTGGAAGTGTGTCACTGGGGTTGGGGTTTCTAAAGCTCATGCTGGGCTGTCTTTCTTGCTGCCACTCTCATTCTCTCGCTCTTTCCATTCTCCCCTGTGCATCAAGCTGTAGTTCTCAGCCACTTCTCCAGCTCTGTGCCTCCTGCATGCCGCCCTGCTCTACCAGGACGGTGATGGACTAAACCTCCGAAACTGTAAGCCAGTCCTAATTTGGTCATGGTGTCTCTTCACAGCAAGAGAACAGCGACCAAGACAGATATGGCCGAAACTGGGATTCAAAGCTAACTTGCTAATAATAAATACTTAGTAAATCAAAGAAAACTTTGAAAATTGCAATTAACTGGAAACTGAATGTTGAGTACTAGGCACAATGAGTATTAAATATGGTTAATGCCTGTTTCCTTTTCTTGTGCTTCCTAAGATGTACACATTTGCAAAACAACAAAACTGCTGTGGAGGAGTTGATGGATGCCCATGCTTGGCCTCAGCTGACTCACACCATGTGTGTGTTGTGTGTATCTCAGATGACTCACACCGGGTGTGTGTTGTGTGTAATTCTGCTGACTCACACCAGGTGTGTTGTGTGTATCTCAGATGACTCACACCGGGTGTATTTCTTCACTTTGCTGTCCAAGGAAGCTGAGACTCCAGCTCGCATGTCCAAGGTAATGTGAGATTGACAGTCAGGTCTACACAACCAAGTCCATACCATGAGTCATTCTTGCCATCTTTCCTTAGAATTAAAATGCTTCTGCAGAACAATATACCACATATGGGTTCATAAACAGTTACCAGCCATTTCTATGGTCACACTTGGCTTGAAAATTTTATCATTGCATTCTCACTCCCTTTCAGTGAGAATATTCATTTATGCAACAGTCATCATTTGAAAAGGTTTCTGGCTCTATTGTCTGATTTTTTTTTTTTTGCATAGAGTTGTGATTTTGCTGCTGAATGCAAAATAACAGCCAAAGTTGGCAGACAAATGGAGAGCCAGTTTTGGACATAAATCTCTGGTTTTCTGGCAAAGCTCATTTGAAATGTAAAAGCTGTTATTGAGAGCATATTGTGATGATACATCATGTCAATATTTGTTTGGCTGCCTAGCAGGTTTAATAAATCAGTTCTTAAATGTACAGTTTACAGTGACGAGTTGTTTTAGAAACGAGCTATGCCACTTTTGGTGTCAGCACCACAAACATTTTGACAAGTATCGAGATGCTGGAGACTGGATTTTTTTATCTCGATTTTCTAAAATAAATTTATGGACAGACTAAGGCTCTTTCAGTCTTTATGTGTCCACTTTGTGTAGGGACGAAACAAGGAGTTGGAGGTAGATTACTAAAGTGACAGTAGAGATGATGTCTCATGTTTGTGATTAGCTAGCTACATCCATCCAAACCGATGTAGTTTCTCAGAACATTGGAAAATGCAGGTTTGGGGGCTATGTATGAGTTGCAGGCAAACCTTCAGAACCATTCATTGTGGCCTTGAACTCACACACCTCTGCTATTTGGATAGCAGTACAGAGTAAGTAAGGTCTCATCAGCAGAGACTTGCAGACTGAGCTTTTTTGGTGTCTCAGTCTGGAAAGAATATGCAATGTATCTCGATTTGTTTTTAAATGGAGCCAGCTTTTATCTGTGAGAGTGAGTGCAGTGTCTGTATTTCAGAGTGGTATTTACTCACAAAGGGACTCTCTAAAATGCAATCGATCCCATTTTTCTTAGGTTATAATTTTTAAAATTTTTATTTTGGAAACAGTATATTCCTAGTGTCTTAATAGAATAAGTGGGAGTTGAAGACATGATATCCTTGCTATAATCAAAGAAATAAATGTAAAATATAGAATTCCATCTGCCCCTGTGTCTTCTGCTTCCCATTCTCCATTCCAGCCCAGTGACCTGGAAGAAACCTCTTGCTGTGGGAAGCTGTTGAGGACCTTCCCAGAGTGTACTTGGCCTGTCCCTTCTGGCAGTCCATTTTATAGTCAGTTACCTCAGAATAGAGCTTCACAACCTCATCAGGCTGTCTAAACAACCTTAGAATTTGTCAGATTTCTTAAAAACGTTTTTAGTGTGTATGGTGTGTTACTGCATGTATGTATGTATAACATATGTCTGCTTGGTGCCCATAGACACTGAAAGTGTGTCAGCTCCCCTGGAACTGGAGTTACAGATAGTTGTGAGCCATCATGTGTGTTGAAGCTTGAACCCAGGTCCCCTGGAAAAGTAGCCAGTGCTCTTCACCAAGGAGCCATCTCTCCAGTGCCTGCCTGGTATATTTTGAAACCCTAACTCTAATGCTTGTTCCCACACACCATTGTTTTACCTGGCTACTATATTGTATAGAAGATTCAGTTGGCCCGTGCGACCACAGGGGTTGGAGAGCATCCTTGACTTAAGTGTGTCTGTGACCAGAAGATCCCGCTGGAGCCTTTGTATGTGGATGCCACTTGCCAGAACCTCAGGAGGCTACAAAGTGTGCAGGCCCTTCTGCCAGGCTAGCTTGCGTCCTGGTTGAATGGGTTGGCATTAATTTTGGAGGGTCGTGCAGCCATAGTTAAGTGAATGTGACAAGGTGACAAGGAGGACAGTGGAAATGGTTTGTGACGGAGCTTGAAGAAAAGGCATGCAGAAAGCATTCGTATGTAGCAAGAATACAGTTGTATCCTTATGTATGTACGCTGTCTGCTAGCATCAGAGTGGTACAAAAGTACGCCTGCCTTTAGGGGTTTCTACGGCAAAAGGAAAAGGGTAAAGGATAGCATCTCAAGTGCTGTAGTTTTTAAAGTGTATCATTTTAGTGTAGATGAGAAACACACCCAACTATACATGATAAGAATTGCCCCCCTCTCACTATGGGTGACAATGGTGTTTCAGAAATGCAAAAGAAATGCAAGGTACCTTATAGGAAAACTTCTCTTGGTATGACCTGGTATGTGTATAAACTATCTGAACCTGTTTCTCTGGGCACAACAGTGTTGCTTGGCTGCACACAGCAGTATTGAGAAAATGTCAGTTCGCGGGATGCGAAGGAGTCAATGGAAGAGGAAAGTGGTTGGTGAATTAAGGCTGGGTCTGTAGAAACAAAACTAGGTGGTGAGACCAGTTGAAGGGGTTGTGTTAGCACAAGATAGTGATGAGCTAGACTGGAGTGTAAGTACAGCCAACACTGCAGGGCCACAGGTTCCAAATCCCTGAACTTAACCAACCATAGACCATATTGCAGTTATGTGAACAGGCTGTCTCCCTGTACTTCCCGAACCATGATGAGTAACTGCTTCTATATGGCATTTATATTACGCTAGTGTCAGGGATCTGGATGTGACTTAGAAAGTATGCTGAACAGTGTGATTGGGCTATCTGCAAATACATTTATATACGGTACCTGACTGTTGGTTGGAGTCATCTAGAGCTGAGCTCTAGAGAAAGCAGTCAGCCAGTGTCCACAGAGAATTTAGGGCATCACTCATGTAATGAGTTAGGTGACATTGTGACTATGTGCTCCAGAAACTTTTGTGACTGAACACCCCATCCCTAGACACTTAGGCTGTATTGGAATGATGTGCAGGCTTTGGGACATAGGCTCTAGCTCGTATGACTAGATCACTAGGGCTGAGCCTTTGAAGAATAAGCCTGTTTCTGTTTCTAGCAGGCACGCCCCTGCCTCCTGATCTAACTACCCTGGGATGAAGATAGCCACACACCTCTGCCAGCATTGGTGAAAGCTCTTGAAATCACCCCCTGGAACCATCAGCCAAAATAACCCCCCCTTAAGTGGTTTCTGTCAGGCTCCTTGTCACAGTAGAGAAAATAACTAACACAGAAGTGACACTCTCCAGGATCTCTTGGACTGGGAATTGCAGCAAGCTCTACTATCCCCTTGAGGACCGAACTACCAGGAGCCTGCTGAGAGAGCCTGCCTAAGGCCACCCCCATTCAGGGCAGAGTGCAGAGTGCAGAGCTCCCACCCACCGGGAGAGGACATGTCTGAGACCCATCTGCACCCACCGTGAGACCCATCAGTGAATTGAACTTGCTTGCACCCACTGGAAGAGAACCTTGGATCCATACTCACCAGGAAAGGAAGAGACCCCATCTGTACCCACTGAAAGAAGGAATGGGAAGACGACAATATAAGAACAAATTCAACGACAGAAAAATCAATATGACACCACTAGAGTCCAGGGACTCTACATCAGCAAGATCTGAATATCACAACACAGATGAAACAGAAAAGAATGGCCTTAAAACAACTTCATGAGGATTATAGAGACCCTAAAAGAAGAAATGAGAAACCTTTTAAAGAAATGGAAGAAAAAACAAACCAAAAAATGTTAGAAATGGAGGAAAAAACAAACAAAAAATGCAAGAAGTGGGAGAAAAGACAAACCAAAAAAAATCCAACAAATACAAGAAAGAGAGGAAAAGACAAAGCAAAAATTGCAAGAAGCAAGATTTCAGAAGTGACAAAGGAGTTGAGACTTCAGACAGACATTGGTGGGTATTGGTTGATCATGGAATTGCCCTGTCACATGTGATCAAGTGCAGGAGTCCCAGGTGAATCACTGAGGGAAAGAGGCAGAAGTAGCTTTTATTCTTTCTTGGAAGGGCTGAAGTGTCTGTGTCTCAGCATTTCTTCAACAGTAAAAATACCCACATCCTAATGGATATTAGCATCCCTGAAAAAAAGAAGACTTCAGTTTCATGTGTAAACTTAGATGCAAAAAATTCTTAGCAAAATTTTTCAAAGCATGTATATCAATGTATTTTTAAAAATCTACACTGTGACTAAGCAAATTGTATCCCCTGTATGCAAGAATGACCCAATATTTAAAAGTCAGTTTATATAATGCATAACAACAGGCTGAACAGAAGAAAATCTGTGATCCTAGAAGCTGCAACTTAAACATACTTAAAAATCATAGTAACATTCATTATAATTAAAAATAACTCATGAAAGTTGGAATCCAGGTCCATTTTGTAAACTTGGTAAAAAAAAAAGTAACTATAAAACCTTCAGTTGATATTAAACAGAATAAAGAGATTATAGATGCTTTTTGCTTGAGTCTATGCAAAATGTTTGCTCCTTGATATCTATTTAACTCACTACTATAAATCCTATCCAGTGCAACAAGGCAAGATAAAGAAATAAAGGTGTTCAATCTGAGGAGTAAGCAGTGCAGGGTTCTGAGGTGATAGCATTTCCTCCTCCGCATCACCCCTGCCCTCTAGGGTGTTGTAGGCAACCTTGGAATTAGCAGAGAGGGGACACAGAGCCAAAATGGGAAAGCTTTTTAATGGTGCTTACTGAGGACACTTAAAACTGCTCACAGTGAGAAGTTCTGCTGTTTTATAGATTGTGGTAGGACCTGCTAATCTCTGCTGGGAAGGTATATGTTTTCTAGAATGTTTGTTCAATGTTCTAATATTTAACCTAGTGATGGAAGGTGCCTAAAAATATTCAAGGAGCCTACACGGTATTGCAGAAATGTCGCAGTCATAATCTCTCCTCTAGCCACTTGTTGCAACAAAGAAAGGCTGTTTAATCCCGGGGTGGGAGACAGGTGTTGTTATTTAAAAAATCTGCATTTTTTCTTTTTTTTTTTCTTTTGTAATGAGGGTGTACCTGATATTCTGAGTATTAGGATAAGCTCTCATACAATGACAGTCACAGTGTGTTTCTTCCTGAGAGAAATACTACACGTGGACACCAATACTTAATGGGCATTTTATAGTGTGCCAGGCTCTGTGCTAGTTTTTTCCTTCATGTGTAAGAATCAGCAAAATCTCTGAGTTCTAGAATGTTCTTGTCAATGTTACCCAGCTGCTCAGCAGCAAAGGTGCAACTCCAGCTTGCCTGGACAAGTCACTTTGTGCTGGTGGTTGGCCAGCTTCTCTGGTTGAGACACTGCCCCCCCCACACCAGGAGTTGGCTTACTTGAGAATACAGAGAGCTGTTGCCTCTGTCTGTGTGTCACCCTCCTCCACATCTCCTTTTCTTCTTTTCTTTCCTTCACCCACTCGGTAAAACGGCCATACATCTGAAACCTTGAGCAAAGAGTGTGGAGTAGGAGACCACCGTCATCCACGGTTGTGCTGGTGAGATTTCTCGGCTCTGGGGCTTTTATGTAACTGTAGCATTCAAGTGAAAAGCTGTTTGCCTTCTGCTCTATGGTATCTGGAGTGTTTTCCATGGTACAGAGCACTTAACAAAGGTGCAAAGGGCTCTGCCCAGCTTGTGACCGCCCCTTCATTACAAAACACCATGAGCACCCAAAATTGTTAGGCAGGAAGAACCTTCTAAGGTAGATTGAGGTTTCATAGTAAACAGTAAAGTGAAGCAGCGGAGCTGATTTTAGGCTCATCTTCACCTGTGAAAGACATCTTAAAATAGAAGCCTTAACAGGAAAAGATCTGCCTCTAAAAGCTTTCTTTTGAGAAAACCTGGGGAAAAGTCCCTGTGGTAGGCCAGTTGTAAAATAAATGTCCAGCTTGCCTATCCAAATAATCACTGCCTTCCTGTCTGGAGGTTCCAAACAAAAGGCAATTGCCCTTAGTGCTGCTTTGTTAGCAGTGATCCGAATAAGCCTCTCAGAAGTCCCCTTGAGAGCAGTCCCCCGGGAATCCTCCAGTGAACCTCAAAACTGTGATTTGTTCCAGACACTCTGAGCAAATTACATTCCTTCCTGAGCTCTAAACTTGATAATTGGATTAGTTCAGTTAAAGTTAAAAATACAGTGAGAACATTGCCCACAAGTCAGTTGCCAACCTGCAGTGGTTTGCAATATGGAGGGAACTTCAAAGACCAAACTCACATTTTTTGGTGCAAGCCTTATGTTTCAGCCACGTGTGTGTGTGTGTGTGTGTGTTTACAAACAGACAGTTTTCTTCTGTATTATAATCTATTGGTGTATTTACTTTGTGGATCTTACAAAAGGAAAAATGAAGTGTACATCAAGAGATTGATAGACAGCCTACAATCCACACCATGAGAGAGCTAGGAATCAAGGAGGACCCTGGAGAAGGGGAAAGGGACAAGATCTCCTAAGCTAATTGGGAGTATGGGGGCGGGGGAAAGAGTTAGGAGAAAGAGAAGGAGAGAAGGGGAGGGGAGAGGAGGACATGAGAGAGCAGGAAGATTGAATCAGGGGAGGAATAGAGGAGAGCAAGAAAAGAAATGGCATAGTAGAGGGAGCCATTACAGGTTTAAAGAGAAATCTGGCACCAGGGAAATGTCCAGAGACCTACAAGATTGACCCCAACTAACAATCTAAGCAATGGTGGAGAGGCTACCTTAAATGCCCTTCTCCAATAATGAAGCTGATGACTACCTTATATGCCATCCTATAGCCTTCATCCAGTAGCTGATGGAAGCAGAAGCAGACACCCACAACTAAACACTGAGCTGAACTCTGGAATCCAGTTCCAGAAAGGGAGGAGTGATTAGCAAAGGGGTCAAGGCCAGGCTGAAGAAACCCACAGAAACAGATGACCTGAACAAGGGGTTGCCCATGGACCTTAGAGTGATAGCTGAGAAACCAGCATAGGACTGTTCCAGACTCCCTGAATGAGGATGTCAGTTTAGAAGTCTGGTTAATCTATGGGGCCTCTGGTAGTGGATCATTATTTATTCCTAGTACATGAATGGACTTCGGGAGCCCAATCCACATACAGTGATACTCTCAGCCTAGACACACAGGGGAGGGTCTAGGCTCTGCTCTAAATGATGTGACAGACTTTGAAGATCCCCCATGGAAGGCCTCACTCTCCCTGGGGAGCAAAAAGGGGATGGAATAGGGGGCCAATGGGGGGGGCAGGGGAGATAGGGAGGCAGAGGGAACTGGGATTGACATGTAAAAGAAGCTTGTTTCTAACTTAAATTTTAAAAAGGAAAAGGAAAACAAAAAGAAAAACAGAGAGATTGGTAGAAGTGGGATTTAACCTCATGTTGTTTGAAGGTGATGCTTATATTCCTTTCCACAATCACAGAAGGGAAGGCACAGTGTGACAAAGGAATTTTTAAATTTGTCCTTAGGTGTAGATGTCAGGGCAGGTTAATATAACAGAATACTTCATAGACTAGAAGTGTTAGCATATCTTATTACATTTATAACAATGGTGCTGTGTGTGAGCACTCAGATGCATTTGCCATGGTGTGCATGTGTGTGCAGGTCAGAGGACAGCGCCGTGGAGTCGGCTCACTCCATCACCGTTCTGTGGGTTATAGGTACTAAACCTCAAGTCACCAGGCTGTGTCTTCACCTACTGAGCTATTGCTCAGGCCCAGCAACAAACAGTCCTCAGTACTCTGTTGGCCAGTAAGTCCACAATCCTTTCAGATTCTAGCCCATTCCATTCCATTCTGGAATGGTTCTGGGTTTGCTGTGAGTGTCCTTCCATGGCAGAAAACCGAGGGGTTGAAAAGCCAGCTCTCTGTTTCCTCTTAAAAGGTCACCAATACCCTCTGGATTACATTGCTTCTAGAAGCCACATCTGGGGTAGGCTTTCAGCATATGAATACGGTGGGTGGAGGAAACACATCCATCCGTTTCACAAAGTCTTTCAGTGTGTCCCAGACTTGATTTGAAGTTATAATCCTCATGACTCAGCCTCTCACGTGTTGGGATCACAGGCCTGTGCTACTATGCTCCACTGTGGAGTCCATCTTACCAAGCCTAACTTCACGTACTAAACTTCTGCTCTAGTCATTTAGCCACTCCCCAAAGGCACATTTTAAAAAACACTAGCACATTGGGAATTAGGTTCCAAAACAGAAAGTCTGGAAAAGGAACTGACATTCAAACTGTAACCCTGGTAGTTATGGTGATACATACCAGAATAGGCCATCAGCATCCCTGCCATGGCCTGTTACGGTATGTCCTCTGTAGTCCACATTGCTTACTGTGCTACTAGTGAGTGAGTAGGTTGCCAGGCAAGTCCATACTCTGTCTTCTCCAATAAAGTGGGACCGTCCCCCACAGATAAGTGCTAGGTGAAAGATGCAGGTACTTTTGTCATTTGTGTCAGTTAACCTCTAAATACTGCTTGGTCTGTAGAAAAAGGGACCAGGAAGAGCAGAAGATGTCAGAACAGGAGACGTCTGTACTTCTTTCTGTCGTATGTGTTCTTCAGCTTCAGAACCTTGAATGAACATTTTATGTGTAACTTTCTGTTCTTACTTTTAACAAAGAGACTCCCAGTTCTCACTTCTCTCGAACAAGCATTTGTTTTCATTGTTTTTGATGCGCATGCTAGCCTGGCTCTGTCCTTGCTCCGCCGACTTGGATGGTCCACAGAAGTCATGGGATTGTGAGACAGTTAGCTAACAGCCGAGCCTGGCCCACGTGTCCAGTGTGTTAGCCTAGCTGGAGGTCAGGCAGAACAAAGTGCTGTACCGTAGGAACCAGGCAGAACAGGGATCTCAGAGGGTTTATATGAGGAATATTATAGCAGCGTGACCCTCCACCTCCAACTTCTGCCAAGCAGCCTGTTTTGGGGACGGTTGGAAGGAAGACATCTGTTAAAAAGAACACGAGAACAGAGGGCACGTGTACATGTGTGCTCTATGTGTTCAGAGTATGCAAAAGTAAACAAGGAACTCGGTGACATCATGGTTGTCCTCATCTCCCCAGGAAGCCACACAGCAGGTAAATGTCTCTATAGACAGACGCTTCTGTCCCACCTGGTCCTGCAGCTGTATAGTCCCAAATAAACACACAGAGGCTTATATTAGTTATAAACTGGTCAATGGCTCAGGCTTCTTACTGACTAGCTCTCTTAATTATTAACTCATCTCTATTCATCTGTGTATCTCCACATGGTCTTGGCTTACCAGTGATGCCTGGATCTGTTGCTTCCTTGGCAGCTACACGGTGTCTCCCTGACTCCACCTACTACCTTTCTCTATCCATTTGGCTCTCCCACTTGGCTAAATCCTGCCTGCCCATTGGTTGAAACAGCTTTACTCATCAACCGATAAGAGAAACATATATTCACAGCATACAGAAGGACCTCCCCCATCATGCCTCATGCTCAGCATAGTCATGCTGGTTAGTCATTGTCTTCCAGCTTCCCTCAATGCGATCAGGGCACGTGGTCTGCATATTCTCCATACTATGTCATGCCTTACACAGAAACAAGAACAGTGCTCGATCTGTATGTATTCAGATCAATCCCAAGCTTTTAAGGGTTTGTATATTTGTTTTCTATGTGTGTGTGTGTGTGTTTGTCTTCGTGAATATGGCTGTACCATGTATACGCAGTGCCCATGGAGTCCAGAAGAGGGTGTCAGGTACCCTAGAACTGGAGTCACAGATGGTTGGGGACCTCCATGTGGGTGCTGGGAGAAGGGTGGCCCTCTGCAAGAACAGCCAGTTCTCCTAGCCCCTCAGTACCAATTGTTGACATTAATTTTGAGCTATTACTGTCATCTTATTTTGCTGTTCCAGGAATTTCCCTCAAATGAGGTAAACATATCTTTTCACATGGATGGTAGTTACAGTGCTAGCAACAGCCTTGCATTTTGATGAGAAAAGGACACCACTTTATTAATGATTGTACACACCAAAGGAATTTGGGTGGTTTATATGTTTATTCAGAGATGTTGAAACTCAAAATAAATGGAAAAAAAGAGAGAAAGACTAGAATTGCAAATGCATCAGAAACAAAATACTTCAGCGACATACCATTTCCTCCACCCAAAGGCCCGTGATGAAAATTAGAATCGAATGACGAGAGTTGACAGAGGTATATACATGGACCTCCCCCTGCATACGGGGCAGAGGTGACTAAAGTGATATACTGTGTCAGCATGGCTCCTAGGCGGTATTAAGTGAAATCAGATATTTTTTCACCCATCAACTCCAGTTTGTGGTTCATGCTCACTGGAAGTGGTCAGAGACATCCAAACATCTAGTGTTGTTTGCAAAACCAAAAGAAAAATCAATGAGGGTTCAACAGGAGAAATCCAGTTGTTTAAGTAGAATATAGAAAAGATAACCACACTGAAAAATATCCGTGATATGGTATTGAATTGAATTAAAAGAGAATATAAGACAGCATATGTAATATTTAGCTTCTTTTGTTAATATATATGTTTTAAAACCTTTACTAACTGGGTGAGGGTTTTTTTGTATATTCAAGTTAAAAATG